CATCAAAGTTCATTACAAGTGGCCCTTCGAGGGCCCCATAACTCTCATGTGGCCCTCGGTGAAAAAGAGTTTGACACCCCTGGGTTAGAGGAAATGTTTCTTCTGGACTTGAAAGAAATGAAACACTTAAAGCTTGTAGATCAGTTCAAATCAGCCCTGACTTTCATCTCAATCATTTCTCATGTCTGTTGAGATATTTTCCAATCCTGTCCAAAATGGTTTTAAAAAAGGCTTTACATTTAAAGTGACATTTTTCAACTTTTCCTGCACATCTTCCTGAAGGTTACGAAGTATCATAAAAATAAATCAGAGCTTCAGTTTCAGGATCGTGGTTATTAGATTTATCGTAGTTAGAGAGCCTCTGAAAGATCATTCAGTTTGTTTGACCCGCAGAGCTTCCTGGAGAACAGCCACCCCGCCATCCAGTCTCTGGAGTCCCTGCAGACCCGGGCCATGGAGGAGTTCTCCAAGGTGGCCTCCTACTTCGGCGAGGACAGCAAATCCACCAGCACGGACGCCTTCTTCGGCATCTTCTCAGACTTCATGTCCAAGTTCGAGGTGAGCGGCCGAGAGGAGCTATATTTGACTCAGACTGCGAGGGGTTCGTATCTTTCCTGCGTTCAACAAACGTGTGACAGATTCGACTCGGCGCAGCGACGAGGTTACCCCGAGGCTCTCGCACAAACTGCCTGCAGCTGTGAAATGATTGGGCTGTAAAGTGCTGCTCTCTGAAAAAAAAAACTGCTCACAATTATATAATACTACAGTAAAATTACTAATAAATCAGATAAAAATCATTTGYTATCTTTCAGAGAGCTCTCAGTGAGACCCAGACTCCAGAGGACCCCCGGAGCCCCAGATTGTCTTCGCCTCTGGCCTGGTAGGAGTGAGAAACCCATCGAAGCCAGTCGACAGATTCTCACTCTGCTCTCCGTCAACCAAAGTGCCAAGATCACACTCAGACAGGAACAGAGACACTCTCACCTACAGCAAACACGACGGGACCAAACACTGCAAGCTAACGAAGGAGCAGATCCAGGGCTACCCGGGCCAAACAAGTACTTTAAGTCCTTCGTTTAAAAAAAGAAAAAAAAAATACAACAACAAAAACTGGCTGATCCGGCTTCCTGTAATGTTTTAGGGTTACACACGTCACCCCTGAAAGCCTAGGATAAATCAGAACCATCAAACAGAACTCTGCTGGCTCCAACACCGAGGTGAAACCAGATCAGACTGAACCAGAGTCAAGACAGAAGGAAGTACTGAAGACCACCAAGGCTTCAGGCAGATGTAGACAGTTGGTTAAACCCAGAGGTTTCTTCGTTGAATGTTTCCCCTCCAGGTGCTGTTGTTGGAACCTAACAAGCCTAAAACATTGACTTGAAGAATTAGTCACCTCCAAAGCACTTTATGGATTTTAATGTGATAGGGAAGAGTGATCAGAGTACCCATACAGCGGGTAAAATAAGTATTGAACACATCAACATTTTTCTCAGTAAATATATTACTAGAGGTGCTAATGACATGAAATTTTCACCAGATGT